TGCTGCCCGCGCTCGTACGATCGAGGATCCAACTGGTCCCCCGTAATGAACGACCGTATCACCTTGATACATATTACTGCATTAGCCGCACACGCGTGGTGCTTCGCGGAAATCGTGTGAGCCCTGACGTAGGAGCGGGAGAAAAAAAAATTAAACAACACCCATTCGCATTCTCTCGTCGGATATCGGCACGCGGTGGTTTCTCTCTCTCCATCTCGCATTCCACGCGCCGCGGACAAAACCGCGTCTATCGTAATTTCCGCAAAAAGATCATTCGTAGCGATTGCTCTGTAACGACAGCCGTGTCAGGAAGATTTAAATCCTACCTACCCGCGTGTGTGCGATAGCACGCGATCGATTTTGACACGAGTAAGTAGCTCACGTTGGACGGTGGTCAGGCGGATAAAGAAAAAGGGAAATGAAACGTGGAACGAACGTGAGAGAATCCGCGGATAGGGACGAGACAAGCAGCGCGAAACAACGTACGGTGGACGAGCGAAAACAGTGAGATGCGAGTGGAAAGGTCAAGCAATGCGTGGAGATAAGATGAGATAAAGTCGGCTGTAAGGGCATAAAGCTGGTACCAGAAGGGGAGAGGCGTTTTATTACAGCCGGAGATACGACTCCCGGAGGATAACGACGTTACGGTGACCAAGGAAATCGCGTCGGTTATATACTCCCAGAAAACAGATGTAGCTACCACAAAAGCGAATTGTGACGAATTTACAATATGTCCCGGCCAGCATCCTTGTGAGATTAATCAACTCTCTAAAAAGCAACCGGTGAATCATCACTGGAAACAGTCAACAGTCACTGACTGTCAGTTGCACACAGTTGAAAAATTTGTGTTCAATTTAACAGATATCACATGTCCCAAACGGCCCACACAAATTTTTTGTGTTAATTTAACATAATATGGGTATGTTAAATAATCACACTAAATGCCCTGTTGATATTTTAACACAAAATAAATGCAAATCTCAAAATTTTATTTCATATAATTTGAAATAAATTTTGTGTAAAATTAACATACACTTAGTCCAAAAAAAAGCGGTACACCTCAAATTTGTTAAAAAGTTACCAAATTTCGAATGACGATAACTACGCGAGTAATAATGATGGAAACGTTTTTAAAAAAAGAAATTAAAGCTTGAAGTTTCTACTTTAAGAATCGATGCATCAGAGTTTTGCGAAATGATTTTTTGCAAAATGACGGATGACAAAACGAGAGTATGCGAAATTGAAAAATTTTCGTCCGAGTTTCCGACGATCCATGGCGAGAGGCAAGTGTTGCAACTTAATGGGATAAAAAGCATGCGATAGTACAGAGTCTCCCCTTCAAAATGCTTTTTTACTCGTTTCGATACGATGATGTTTCGCTGAGATATGCTCATTTAAAGTAAAAACCGGCCTTTTTATTCAAATGCACATATCTCAGCGAAAAATCATCGTATCGAAAGGAGTAAAAAAGCATTTTTAAGGGGAGACTCTGTGTTATCGCATACTTTTTATCCCATTAAGTTGCAACACTTGCTTCTCGCCATGAATCGTCGCAAACTCGGACGAAAAATTTTCAATTTCGCATGCTCTCGTTATATCATCCGCCATTTTGAAAACAATTATCTCGCAAAACTCTAATGTATCGATTCTTAAAATAGAAATTTCAAGCTTCAATTTCTTTTTTGAAAAACCTTTCTATCATTATTACTCGCGTAGTTGTCGTCATTCGAAGTTTGGTAATTTATGACAAATTTTAGGTATACCGCTTTTTTGGACTGAGTGTATGTATTATGTCAGATTAAAAAATAAGTACACATTGTATTGTTTTAACATTTCTTTTCAGTTAATTTAATGATTTTACATTTGAGGTCAATTAACACAAATTAACACATAAAAGTGTTAAACATTTAACACGAAAATGTTAACCGGCATTTTTTTTAACAAGAAAACACCAATTTTCCAACTGTGTAAGTATATCACTGCGATTTTCAGTGATACACGGAGAGAGTTTTCGTTTAAAATTTTTCCTGAAAATCATGTAATCGTGAGACAACACGGCATGTTGAAAAACCTTATCAGTTTTTTGAAATTTTACCATACTTTTACTAGTAAAATAATAGTATCTAATTACAGTTACTCACAAAGTAACAAATCGTTACTTTGCAGTTACTTTCTTGAAAGGAAAAGAAAAATATCAAATCTACATTTGAATTGTAAAGTGTCGATGAAGGCGTTTATGCGCAAATGTAAGGCCTAACTCTTTCTGTGGAGGTTTAAAAAATATATAAAGTAACTATTGATGTAACTATTAAATTAGTTACTACCCGAGTCGAAATTTTGGCCCTATATTAAACCTTTAATTCTATTATATAGTAGGACCTAAGACAGTAAAAGAGGTTGAACTGCAAATATAAAATTTACTCCTACTTTAAAACCGATAGTGTCGGTAATTTCTACTTTTGCCAATTTAGTATTAAAGTAGGTCCTTTTAAGTAGGAGCTAAAGTGTCAAAAGTGTCAAAAGTGTCAAAATAGTACCAAAATTTCGACTCGGATAGTTATCGAAAAAATGTAACTGACAATGAGTTATGTTTCAGTTACAGATGTAGAGAATGTAACGAGGTTAATTTAAAGTTACCAGAAAAAAGGAACTGGAACTGGAACTGTAACTGTAACTTCGTTACAAGAAACGAGTACTTGCCAACCCTGGCAAAATGTACTAACAACTGCAATTACTAGTAAAAAGTAAATTTTAAAAGAAAATTCTTGCTCATAACTGCAAATCAGTGACTATTCAGTCTTCAGTGATAATCCACTGAGTGACTTTTAGAGAGAATGCTGAAACATGGTCAGTACGGCAAGAAGATGCACGCAATACCCATAAAACGTAAGGAATACTCTTGTCGGAATCACAATTTCATTTGAGACAAAAGAGCGCTTTTACTGTGCGTTCAAATGTTTTAAGAATGCAAGTCTGATGCCCCTTTCTATCAATGCAGACTAATTTTAATCCCCGTTTAATTAAATTCTTACCTTTTTCCAGTTCCTGAAACTAGAAAAGTATAAGAGGTTAAAAAGAGATCAAAATTAATCTGCATTGGCAGAAATGGACATGAGTATGTTAGCAACAATAAAAAACATTCGAAGATAAATTACAAAATGAAATATAGAAATTATAAATTTTTTCACATAAAATATAAAATGCAACAATCTTATTTACGTTATATTTTGCATAATCTTTAAAAATTGTAAAAACGTGAGGATTTTATTTCACGCTAATGGAAAACGTTAACGATATCATTACGCAGCTTTCCTATGGTATATTATATCTGCGCAAAGCACGTAATGATGTTGGTAACGTTTACAAAATAGGCCCTTGATATAGTGTCGAAAAATATCTTCGAAACATTCGCAGAAAATACAAAATGGTAAAAACAGACCCTCCCTTTATCGTAACATTTAAAATATATTTGAATACAAATCTGAAAAGAATAATATAGTTGCAAATATAAAATAAAAACCAGAGTACTTGTCCAAGCTAAAATCTCGAAACAATGTAGTAGTATTAAGGCTAAAATAAAAAAACGCGCGAAAGTAATGACGCGCGCCAGTGTATAACAATCCATTCCCTGAAATGATCCGATAATTTAATATAAACTTGCGTCGCAATGTTAACATTTATCCATTAGCCGAATGTCGATTTATCAAAACAAGAAAGGGCACAAAAACTAATTAGTGCCGCGTAACGAGCATAAAGGAGACTAATGGTATACAGAAGCGACAAAACGGAGGTGCAAAACGACAAGGAAAAAGAAGGAAGAAGACGCGAAAAGAGAGGAGCACGTGAAACGCGACGCGATTCACAAGGTTGCGACAAGGTAAACTCAACTAACGTTGTCCGGGCGGACAACCGACAACCGACCGACCGACCGATCGACCGACCAACCAACCAACCAACCAACCAACCAACCAACCGGAGAGCGGGATAAAGCTAAGCTAAGAGGCAAGTCAAAGCAAGTCGAGAAGAGCTAGGTCGAGACGAGGCAAGGTAAAGGCGAGTAGGGACGGGGTATAGCAAGGCGCATTGGCGAGGCATGCTAAGGCAACGGGTCCAAAGTCGCCGTCGTGCCTCGGTACGAGGCCCCGGTGGCGCGTTAACCTCCCGCTCGAACGCAGTACGCTCTCGACTCTCGCGCAGGCCAGGTTGCATCAATCCCGTCGGTCGATCCACCGACCACGTGCACAACCCGCCGACAGGCGAGGGGAAAGTCACCGAGATCCGATCGCGTGCACGTGCCGCTCATGCACCAACAGCGACAATATCGCCGGCGCGGAAAGAAAGGGAGAGACGATAAAAGAGAGGGAGTGAAAAAAAACGAATCTTCCTTAAAGAGGTTGGTGCCGTGTGATACGCACTCGACTAATCGCTTCTCGATAATTATCGAGAGCCTGCGAGGTGCGCCAGTGCGCGGAGATCGTCAAAGAGATCGCGCTCCAGATTCAAGAGTACCCCGTGTGCTTTCGCCGTTACGAGAATTTAATTTGCAAGTGCGCGGGAAGATAATCCGAGGGAAGTCACGGCGCCCGACCGGGAGGGAGGATTAAAACGGACGTCGTAAATTAATTCGCGGGAGATTCCGATCGCGCTCTTAGGTTCGGTCCGCGGGCGGCTCTACGCCGGGGGTATCGCACCGTGACGCCGCGCCGCGCCGGCCGGGCCGGCGGCGAATTTCATTCTCCGCGGCGCGTTTCTCACGCCTGCGAAATCAGTCCAACCGCGCGTGGAATGTGACGATTAAAAGGAAAAAGGAGGAAGAAGAGAGCGCCGTTCTCAGCCGCGGGCGTTCCACTTTCGGTGGCCGCGCGCCGCCGTGATATCGACGGGCCGCGGCGAAAACGAATTCGAAATGGTCGCGCCAGCGCGCGGCGCACGCGAGCCGCGCTGCTCGGACGCGGCGAGGTGCAATCGCGGCGACGCGGCCGGCCGCGGGCCCTTCGAAAGTTTTCGCGCTTCAATGAGTCGCGGAGGAAAAAACCGAGAGGCCGGCCAGAAGAAGCACTCGATCGGTCGGAACGGCTCGGAATAATTCAATTACCGAAAGCCCGGTGGCGGGGGGGACGGTGGACCCTTCGGGCCGACCATACATGGTCGTCGTCTGCCCACAAAGCCGAGGAAGAAGCGGCGGCGTGTCGTCGTGATCGCGTGGGAGGTCGAGGCACCGCGCGCGCCGCGCTTTTTACGCGCGAAACCCAAGCGGAGAGGCAGATTCGTGCGCTCACTCCGGAACCCACACGCGGGCACAGCGGCCGTTTAAGCCGCGTACCTTATCCGCGTCCCGATAAAAATGCACCACTGACGCGACCAGCGGGTTTCTTTCGAGAGCTACGCGACTAAGCGCCGATCTCTTCCCTCGATGCATCGCGAGAACGCGTGCCGAGCCGAAGGCGGCCGACAGATCGATCCGGATGAGATCACCCGAGAGATGAGAGGAACCTGATTCAGAGCAAGTTCGTGCCGCCAAGTAGGCAGCAACTCGAATAATTACCTGCAACTAGTTCGTTAGCAAACCGTGGCTAAATCTCCACGCAAATCACGTCGCCGCGGGCGAATGAAATCGAAGAGTTTGTTCGACGAAACGCGGAGAGGATATTGCGATTGAAACAAAAAGAAGAGAGGGAAGAAGGACGAAGGCTGAAACGGGGCCACGCGAGCGAATCTACGAGCCGCTCGAGGGGACCGCGTGCGCATCGTATCGCGTGACAAAAGAGTCGCATGCGGAATAAGGTGAAAAGTGCGTAAAACGCAGCAGCGTCGACCCGCCGTGTCAACGTCCGAGATGCGCTCGTGGCTGAGGCGCATTATCGGCGAGGCTCGCCTGCGGAAAAGTTGCGTGTGATAAAAGGAACACTGGCCGAGGCATGTCGTCGCCGTTGCGCCGCTGAACAAACGCGCGCGACGAATGAGGACTCTCGCAACGGGTAAAAATAATAATAGAGGAAACGAGCAGCATGCCGGTCGCTGGAACGAGGAGATTATGTAGAGTGGGACTCGCGGCGGTCCTGGTCACCGCACTGTGCATTCTAACTCTGCTGGACTCGCCGCCAGCCCGACTCCCGGATCCACCGACCGATCCTCCTCCCACGCCTGGTAAGCAATTTTCCACCTCCGGCACCTTCGCCGAGGGCGCAACCGCTGCGACCCTTGCCCTTTTGTTATCGGCCAACGGTTCGCCGCGCCGGCGCGGCCTGAAAGCGCCTAACGCTATACGCATTGGCATCTAGCGGGATTTTTGCTGCCGCGCGAATCGCTCTTGGCTATAGATAAAATCGTGAGACAAATCGGCCTTGTTTCGTGTGACGTGACGTCTCGCGCGAATCTGATTAACTTGTTGAACTCGAGTGATTTCGCGGTCGAGTCGCGTGTTGAAATCTAAGACCGCGTGCTTGTCCTGGTAGCAACTAGCTTTTAATTATCGATGCTGTTCACCGTCGAATTAAATTTATCTTGAGTCGTTTGGAGAGAGAAAGGATTTATAAGAATAACGAGTGGAAGAGACCCCCTATTATAAAATAGGCCGCTAAAAAGGGATAGCGGGGTTTCGGTTAAATTAATAGGCATCATCTGTTGATTCCATCGTGAATTCATTGACCTTGCAGCGAAAAGGGATTTGTGACTGATTTTGGGTCTTGAAAACCTGATCTCATAATAGAGGACTTTCCTCTACCTATATTTCCTCCTTGTGGAATTATATCGAAGTATAAACTCATAAAACCGAAGAAATCAGTATATTCTTATTGAAGATTTTTATACGAAACAGCTTGATATAAAATTCGCACAATGTTTAATAATGAATGATGCACCAAAATGTATATTTTTCTTACAAATAAATATGAAAAGATTAACTTATTACAGAATAATGTTATTTTAATACAGATGTGTATACCTGGGATAGACCTAATATTTTGTAGGGCAATATTCTATCAAATAAGCTCTGCACTCTGTTTAGAACAGACGGAATTATTTCCCTGCTATGAGAGATATATTTCGGTGTCACTCGTCAAACACGTTTCGGACGGGAGCTGTTCTTCTCCAACGTGAGCCTGTCAACGCTTTTAAAACGTCAAGAAAAATATTCAGTAAAGCCAAAGTAAATGGCCAATGTTAAAAACAATGAAACGTGACGATGAGTTTATGTAATGAAACGCGACTTCCACGACTTGAAGGTTGCAGAAGTTTCAATGAATGATCTTATGCCACGAAACATTCGACATTTAATACCGTGTACAACATTTGTTTCGAATGTCGTATATAAAGTATCTCAGAGCATCGTAATTTTTTGATTGGCCATATTGGCAATATTCTATCACAAAATAAGCAACAAATATTAAACTTGTCAAGATAACGTTACCGGGGCTTGTAAAATTACTAAAAAATTACTTTCACGTGTCCAGTTATGCAAGCGCAGACGTTGCAACAAATAATTAACTTTGCAGTTAATTAATAAGTGACAATTATAAATTTTTATGTTAACTGACTCGATGTAACAAGATTCTATTAGCTGATTCGAAACTTCTTGGGAAGTATAAGATATTATAGCGAATTCGATTGCTTGCACTAGTACGCACTGAGTGTACACTAAGGCCTGCTTATAGTCAATATTTTTATATTTAACTATGTCTTAAATACACATTCAAAGAATATTTAGCCAAAAAATGATCCGTATGGCTGCTATACAGATCATTTTACTGGCTAAGAAATATTTCGAAAGATATCTAAAACGATCCTTAGATATAAAAATTGACTGTAAACAAGCCTTAGTGCGCACTCAGTGCAAGCAACCGAATTCGCTATTAGGTTTCATTTTTTCAGAATCATGATTTTTCCGGTTTTTCGACCATAACTACATCTTAATATATCAATTAGTAGACATACAATATATCATTTCGTAACTAATTTTCGAAGAGAATGTAAGGGATACGACATAAAAATATTAATTTCTCTCTTTTCTACAAGTAGTCAAAGTTAAGTACACAATATTGAATTAAGTTAATACGATATTAAGTGCTTTGCTCTATTAATTTAACTTAATCCAATATTAAAGAATTATTCAGTAATATTAAAATAAAGTTGTAATCTGGCCAAGATTCTAATTGCGTATCTTAATCGTGGTCGAATTGAAAATTTGTGCAAACAATGCAGGATAAAGACATTGTTAGTATTAAATTTAAAAACAATTTACACGTGACATTTCATCACGTCATACGTTAAACGTAAATGAACCGCCTATCGTTTTATCTTATTTCACGTAGACAATGGCGAAACAAGAGGAGAATAGAAAAGAAAGTAACAGTGACAATTAATGTACTCGTGCGGCAGTTTAGTTATCGTATAAACTGAAGTTCCTTGACACGGTACGGGGGAAGATTCGCACGCCATAAACTCGTTCGAAACCTGCCGCGAGTGTTTGTTAGTTATTGTTAGTACGCACTATTTCCTAGTCGCGTGAAGTTTCTCAGCATTGAAATGTTATCCGGCCGGGCCGGAGGATGAAGAGCTGCTATCTCCTTTTTTTAAATGCACGTTCATCGTGAGTAATTGCACGGGTGCTACGCTTCCTAATACTAACAACGAATATGACTACATAAATGAGTCGCTTCGAGGGCCGATACCGATCAACCCGCGCTACGCACCGCGAAGATTCAACGGCGGCCCCTTGCACGCAACGTGCGTACACGCTTGCCCCGAGAGAGAGGCTAAAAAGATACGAAGATAACGCAGACGGGTGCGCGAGCGCAAAAGGAACGCGATACCAAGTTATAAATAAACCTCGAAGCTTTGGCATAAAGCTCGCCAAGGACGTAAATCTCGGCGCCGTTCTTTGGTAGTAGCGACTTCATTAGTCGACGTAATTTATGACGTGATTCATCGAGTGACCGCCCGTCGACTCGTGCGCTTTCGCGTAATTCACCTTCGCCTCTACCATACAAACATTTCGCGGGAATTATGACAGCCGATCGTACGGCTGAGACCGAGACTACACCGAGATATCGTATTCACGGACCAACCCGTGACTTTGTTCGCCCCGTGCGAAGGAGCGCCTTTCACAGATGAGAATCAAACGGCCACGCGCACATGTTTAACGCTACGTATAAATTATGAATATAAATTCTCATTGTTTTTATGACGTGGAAACGGGTGGATTTAGTTACATGGCAAATCCAAGGGTGTCACTTTCATGCACGTGTACGGGGTCTCTTAAAACCACCGCCATTCCTCTAACAATAAGTGGCAGATTCCTTGGAACATTTCAAGTCGAAGATTCTAATATACACGGAGAGAATGCTTTCTAACGATTTATCCTGCATTTGTGTAATCGAGGGACAACCTGGCACTTCGGAGAATTTTGTGAGTTTTTCGAAATTTTACTATACATTTTACTAGTGGAACGTATGGTAAAATTTCAAAAAACTCTCATAAACTCCTTCTAAATGCCATGTTGTCCCATGATCACACGATTTTCAGGCTAAATTTTAAGGGGATCCTCAAGTCTTTTTTACCGACACATACGAATGTAGTTTTTGCGCTGGTAAATCTTTTTATTAGCTTTTATGCACAAAATAATACCAGGATAAGTTGCGGACCGCATAGCAGAACACTTTCATACTTAAAACACTCAATTCAGAAGTTTAATAAAAAAGAAATTGGTATTTATAATATATTGCCCAAATCGCCCACGAATAAAAAATTGAAAATTTCAAATACCAATACCTATCTTTTTCATTGGACTTCTGAACTGAGTGTTTCAAGTATGAAAATGTTCTGCTATGCGGTTCACAACTTACCCTGGTATTATTTAGTGCATAAAAGCCAATAAAAAGATTTACAAGCGTAAAAACTGTATTCGAATGTGTCGGTAAAAAGATGTCTTTAGGATCCCCTTAAGAGAAAATTATCTCCGTGTATACAAATGTCGAGGCTACAACGGTTTTTAAATGGAAAGCGATTATATTTTACGAACAGCGGGGCTAAGGCATTTTGCATGCTCAGGCAAAATGACAAAGGATAAAAGCGGTGCATTGTTCGTCCAAACAATGTACCAATGCAATGTGTAGAGAAGCGAGGAAACATAATATTGTAGAAATACTATTGTCACTTTATACGATATTCATAATATCTTAAAAATAGCGGAACTACTCGTACCACTTCGCCGTGCCTGAGTGCGCGAAATCTCAGCCTTGTCATTCGTGAAATAGAGGAAAGTCCTCTTACGAGATAGGGTTCTAATATGGGATAATAGGTTTCCAACGTCCAGTTTCAATCAGAAATCTTTTTTTCGCGACGACTACACGATCCAGCAATCAATTTTCCACTCAACAGACTTCACTCCAAGGGCAATAAATTCATGATGGAGCCAACAGATGACGCCTATTAAGTTCGCGGAAGCTCCGCTGTCTCACAATCACATCCCTAATTCAAATTCATTGTAGCCTCGATATATTTTTGTATCAGGATTTTCGTCTCGAGACATTCTGAGGAATTCGTCATTAACGCCCGTTTCTACCAATGCAGATTAACTTTAATCACGGTTTAAATTGCCTCTCTTATCTTTTCCTAACATTCGTAAAAGTAGAAAAAGGTATAAAGTAAGTTGTACCGAGATTGATGTTGGTAGAAACGGACATAAGCGAAAGAACGGTAGGTTTAAAAGACTCCGTACGTGTAATTTGATTGAAGGCACTTTTTACGCCGTTCCTGCCGTTTAAAGTTACCACGCACGTCGCGATTTTATACGGCGCGGCAGCAGCCGTGCAAAAAAAAATGCCTCCAATCAAATTACACATACACGTATGTAAAAGTAACACTCTTGGGACCTTGCAGCAGTGTGCAGTTACACGGGTAATAATGATACAGAAATGATAATTGCGATTCTTATCCAGGCGTACGAGTTTTTGGGCTCACGTACTTCAATTAGTTAAAGATAAGTGTTCTCCCTTGTCGGGAGTAATTCCCAACTAATTAGCGGCGGGGCCGTAAAAATCGGCACGATTTATTCCCTGATTTATCACCGCGGCCGGCCGTATATAGATTCGCTCTCCGGCCTGACAGTGCGATTTCCATGAGGGAACGCCGGCGTGCATTAGCGTATTTTCTAGCGTGGTACGAATGCCTCGGCGCTCTCGCGCGGAGTCCACGTTTACCTTCTCGTAAACCTCGCGGAGCGTGGCCGCGACGGACGGCCGCGGAGAGGCGGGCGAGTAAAAGGGCACGGAGTCACGAAGAATGCTCGCGGCACGCAAACGTGTAATACCCGCCGTCGGCCCCGGTTGGGTCAAACGCCGACTTTTAACGACACACCGCACGACGGTGCCCCACGTCGTCCGCGTCCCGTCGCCCCGCGGAGACGACGGATCGGCCAGGCTCGGCCTGCGCGCGAGCCTCGTTACCTACGCTCCCGACGTAGTCGAGAGATCGTCCGGGAAATGGTTCCGGGCGTCCCGTCAATAACGCTCGCGGTCCATATACGTCGAAGACGAGTAATTGCAAACGAGACGAGTCACGAAACGTATATAGTGCCATAAATTTACCCCGCCGGACGCCAACACGGCGCGCGACGTTCCCTATTTCCTTCTTCTTCTTTTTTTTTTCTTTCTCCCTTTCTTTCCTCTCGTCCCTTTTTCCTCGTCCGACCGCCGTCGCCGTCACCGCGGTCGCCGTCTCGCAGAAATAATTATAAACGAGACGTAACGAGAGTCCTTAAAGCTATCAACGGCGTAGATTTATTATCGCCCTCGGAGAGCAGAGCGCACTCGGACGCGTCTGCGCGAACCCTGTCGTAGTCCATAAATACATTTATTATAAATGCATTAATGCGCGGAAAAAAAAAGAGTGGGATATCTCTCGCTGCGGGTCCGCTTCGGCTCGTGACTGCGCCGGGAACGAGTTTCTCCGCGGAATACGGAACAGGCGGAATGGTACTCGACATTAGGGGGGGCCTAATTAGCGGGCACGTCGATTGAAATTCCGCCCAGCTAATTTCCCCTGCCTGCCTTTCTCCCTTTGAATGTGTTACTAGAGCGTCGCGCTGGAATATATGGAAATCGCAATTACGAGAGCTATCATGCCATCGCTGATAAGCGAGAGAGGGAGAGAGAGCGATATTGAAGGGAATGCTTTCCAATACAAGGATAACATATCTAACGAACGCGAATGTATTCATAGTACAGCACTAGTTCGTTTCTAGCATATAGACGCGTCACTTCCGTCCGGTCGTATAGAGTCAATGTCTTCGCGTCGGCTCGCGATCCTCGTGGCGGATAAGATCGAGAATCGATCGGCGATTCGACAATAAGTTGACGCTCGGTAAAACGAGCACAGGCACGACATTACACTCGCAGAAATGATAAGATGATACACCGGTGAGCGGAATGCAAGCGATACTATCGATGTAACAGCGTAAAAGTTCTGATAAGCTACGGACAGTATGTAGTTATGTATATACAGCGTGTATTAGCAGTAGCGCGGGCACTTGCTCCTACAAGAAGACATAGTCGAGCGAAACTAGTTAACTAGTTAACTCGGATGAAACTTTTGAGTACAGCGAGTGACTCGAGCCACGTGAAAATGCATTGCTCGCTTATGGAATCTGGATAATGTAAAGGTACATGAATGGAGCGTGTCGTGAACTAAACACTATAAATGCTAGATCGGGCAGAATTTTTATAAATTAATAATGAAAAATGACAAGATTTTTATTCACAATCCATTCGATAAAATAAAAGTTTCTCCCACTTCAACGCGATTCCAATGTGCTTCGCATGTAAAAATGAAAACAGTGTCTAAATATCTGTCTGAGTTTTTATTTTTGCAATCTTATTTGTCTCCAATCTTTCGCCTAGGCATGATTACTGCAAACATTTTTGCCTCTCAAAATCGTAGTGTCGCGTTAAAAATGAATTGTCTTTCTCAATTTTAGTTTAACATTTCACTTTTTATTTATAAGCTTATACAAAATTTTGTCCATATCTGTAGACTTTACGTCGATGGTATTTCTTTGTTAGCTGGAGTTGACTTTTAAATGTCGGGAAACAATAGTAATCTGTTCTCATATAAAAATGTATGTGTTGTTATTTGAAAGATTTGATATTTTATTAAGAAGAAAAATTATAAAATAACATACTACCAACAATTCAACGACACTAATTCAATTTTGACATCTTCCTGCTTCAATATAATATGCGTACACGGGAAAAAATGATGTTGTACCAACGATATCAGTGTAATTGAAATAAAATGATTCAAACAACATCAGTATTAGTGAATGAAACACAGATAGTTGTCTTAATAATCTGGATATTTAGTTCAATGCTTAAAATTAAAATCCATAACGAATACAATTGAGTGAACTATTTATGTCTGTGGCAGCCCGTGACATCATCGTTTCATTCAGTTAACTTAATTTTTTCTTAATTCAACAGCATTTTTTCTGTGTATATATATGTTACAATTAGAACTCGAAGTCTGTCCAAACCCGAATTTACTGGAAAATTGTACTTTTTGCTAAGCCCTCTCGGTAATTCTCGTTTTAACTGAAATAATTTAGTTAAAACTAAAACGACCCAGTACTTTAATACGCGTTCTAACTTAAATAATTTAGTTAAAATTGGAAGTAATTCATCACTTTAATAAATTTGCATTTAACTAAAATAATTTAGTTAAAACTAATATTGACTGATTGCTCTTAGTAAAATCGTGTTCTAACGTGTTGGCGATTGTCTACGTGCAATCGTCGGACGCATTCTTGTCAACGTACAGTCATTAGATGCAAGTCGAATATTCATCGTGACCGCGAATTAATAGCTGACTTTGTCCTTCACCTGTATGTTTTTCGTATTATCCTGGTAAACCGTTGTCTAAACGATTCTTGATTACACGATACAATCATACTGCAAAAGTTAATTTTTATTTAATGAACATTAGTATTCTCGACTGAGGGATTTCGCGTTTTGACTGCAAGAGAAATACGTTACAATGCGAATTTACTAAAGTGATAAATTGCTTCTAGTTGTAACTAAATTATTTCAGTTAGAACGCGAATGTATTAAAGCACTTGGTCGATTCTAGCTTTAACTAAATTATTTCAGTTAGGACGCGAATTACCGGGAAGCTTAGCAAAAACTAGAATTTTCCAATAAATTTGGGTTTGGACAAATTTCGAATTCTAACTGTAACATATGTAACAATGCGTATTTCGACACAAAGTGTACGAAATGCAATTGCACAGTTCGAGCAGTACATAAATGGTTTCCATGCGCAGCTTATTTCTACAGGAATGAAAGCCGGCGATTTGTAGCTACATTTTCAAAGGTAGCTGCAGCACAAGATGATACCCGGTGCATAGTTGGTGCATTATTCTCTTAGCAAAAACACGAGTTAGATTTATTTTCCTGGCCAAGCCCTACGATTAACTCTCTCCCTTCGCCCCGACCAAACGAATTCTTAGCGTCATTGTTTGCGCTTGCGTTTCTAGGGGGCGAACCGCCGGGCACTAGAAGCATCGTCGCTTATTCGTGGGCCCGAAGATTGGCACTCGATTACAGGCCCACCAAGCAGTGCGACGGTAATGGAACGCGCGGAATGGCGTTAAACGCATATGAGCTGCCCGGCACGAAATGGCTCGAGACAATCCCGGGACAGCTCTTCCTGTATAGCGCCCACCTGGACCTCAGAATCGCCGGCTACCCGAGCATCAGAGTGATTGGCGTTAAACGAGGAGCCCTACCACCCTCCGCGCTCTTCTGCACTATATGGTGAGCCATTTTTCACGTTGCTACGCAGCCCGTTACTCGTCTATCTCTGACAAACGCTAAGTATCAAGGGAAAGAGAATCACTGATGCTCATAAGCGAGGACTATGTCGCCTTTGCAAATCAAATCGCAATGAAAAATCGACCAAATTAATATCGACACCTTCCCTAACGGAAATTCACACACACACACATGCACATACAATGCGATCTTAAATTCACTTTACTTAAATTTCTTATTTAAGTTATTAATGTAAGCACTTGCTCTATGCTCTCGGTCAAAATTACACTGCAATCAACTAAATTGTGAAATATCGACATGACATCTTAATTAACAAAAAGTAATCTTGAACTGCTGCACTTCAATAAGTAAAAACGGTAAATAACCAGCTTTTGACGTTGTCGATTAAGACACAAGATAGTGATTCACGTATTCGCCTGTCTATTAATTCCGTCCAGTTCGATACCCAGTAAAAATATTGCGGCGCTCGTTTCATTTTGGCAAACTTAAACGTAAATTCATAATGCGAGACACACGCATTAATAACAAGCGCGTTGGGGAAAGTACGTTTGAATTCATTTCGCACTTTTAACTTTGACGAAATTAAACTTCGTTAACGCGGGTTGAACTTCCTCCTCGCATGCAAGTTGGTTATTTCGAGTAGCGTTAGGAGTGAGTAGCGCAAACGTTAGCAGCGGCGCGAAACGGAGCATATTCGCTTAAAATACACGGTTGAAAGACCGCGTTATAAATGTCCCTGTAAATGCCTTGCACCACGTGTGCAGATGTCTCCCCGCTGGAATACTCGGCATCTAACGTGTCCTCTCGATCGGAAACGATGGATTAAGCGTCTCAAGTTGTGTTCCAGGTTCCGGGAGCACGGGAGGGTGCGATCGTTGAGCGTGGAAGCGCTCATCTCGACGATCTGGCTGGACGAATGGGGCGACACGGCGGACAGTTACACCGGAATCCTTGTAAATTGTCAATTGCCGTTGGACGGCTCGGTACGCCGTGCCTCTCGGGTTTACGTGGGCCCGAGTCCCTGCTACGAGAATGCTAGTCATAGTTTAATGACCCGCTCGGAATTCGGCGACGAGACTTTTGCCGACCGGAAGAGGCGCCAGTTCACGCTGTGCATTAAAGGACTGGACTTCGATGAGGATATATCGCACAAGTTAATAGCCTTCGTCGAGCTACACCGTATCCTGGGCGCCAAGCTGTTCCACTTCTACGTGTTCAATGTCCACGAGAACGTACTCAAGGTGCTGCGCTTATACGAGCGATCGAACGTGGTGCGATGGTTCACGCTTGATCTGCCGGGTGATTTGCCGAACGAGAAGGCGGCCCGAAGGCGATTCTTCAGCGAGGACATTTGGACGAAGAGGCGAATGGAGCTGATCCCGTACAACCACTGCTTCTACGAAAATCTTCACCGATCAGAGTTCGTGGTGCCAATCGACATCGACGAGGCGATCGTGCCGACGCGCCGGAAGACCTGGCACGAATTGCTGCTGGACGAGCGGGCGAAGCTCGGCAGAAGCTTCAAGGATTTTGCCTCGTATTCCGTACGGAACGCCTATTTCTTCCCTGAGCTGCAAAACAAGAGTCGGACCGATCGGTTGACCGGGCTCGACGAGGAGCTCCGTCGCTCGGCTGAGTATACGGACTATCTGGATACCATGAGAACGGCCAGTATTTCGCCCGAGGGCGACTCGGTGAAAAGTTTTGTTTCCACGAGGCGCGCATTAACGGTGCACAATCACTATGCCCTGACCACGTTGAACCCGTCCACCAGACGGGCTCATCATCTGGACTCAAACGACGTGCTCAAGCACCATCACCGGGCTTGCGACAGCCAGCATCTCGATTGCGATCTCCTAATGGAGGACGTTAGGATCGACGAATCCGCTTTGCGCTACGCGGATGAGCTCGAGACGAGGATGAAGATCGCCTTGGCCGATCTCGACGCCTTGCCATAGTCTATAGTGATGTTGTAAATAATAACAATCCCTCTCGAAAGCTTCGTTTTATTGTCTATCAACCAGTCCTTCCGACCCCTGTAAGACCTTGACGTCTATGATTTCAAATAGTCAAAATATTAAAGGAGGAATCAATGACTTTTTAATTAATGATTTTTTAAAGGCTCGTATGAGCGTCCAAAAGTAAATCGTTTATCGATGTGTCGTCGTTTAAGGGGATGCTGAAGTGATTCTACACTTTTGGCATCTTTTGCTCCTAGAACTGTCAATTCATGTAAACATTTGTGTAATATACAAATTATGTGGCTTTTGTACACGAACCGACAGTGTTCCACTATTTGGACTAAATCAGAGACCAGCATGGTATCATTGAAATTAAGTTCAGAAGCCTAACAAGAAATCCACTCACTCGAAGAAGTTATAGGTTACCTAACCTTCGAGTGAATAGACTTCTTGTTAAGCTCCTAAACTTAACTTAATTTCAATGATACCATGCTGTTCTCTGATTTAGTCCGAATAGTGGAACACTGTCTTTTAGTTTCTTTTGTCTATTAAGTTTAGAAGCCTAACAAAAAATCTATTCACTCGGATAAGTTATAGGTTACCTAACCTATAACTTCTTCGAGTGAAAGACTTCTTGTTAAGCCCCTAAACTTAATTTCAATGATACCATGCTGTTCTTTCACTTAATCTGAATAGTGGGACACTGTCGGTTCGTATACAAAAGCCACATAATTTGTATATTACACAAATGTTTTCACGAATTGACACAGTTCTAGGAGCAAAAGGTGCCAAAAGTGCACAATCACTCCAGCATCCCCTTAAGTGTGTGAATTTACTGTTACAAATATAAGACTTTTAAGACAAACTACCGGCGTGCAGTTTACTGAATATGGAAAAAGTATATAAATTTACGTAAAATTATTAGGCTACGAAAAACCAGCTGATCGATAATTGGGGCACATTTGTATTTGATTACAAATATTGAAACTAAAACTGTTTAATATTTGCGGTGTATTAGCGCGAATAAAACGTCGAAAATTAATTAGAGGCAAACATCATTGACATGCATACACGAATGTTTCTTTTTTTAACAAATCAATAAAATTTGCTCACGTTTTATACTTATTAGCGAATCCTTTAGATTTGACAGATATGATTTAATACTGCAGAAAGCAGAAGGTCTTGATATTAATCCCATTAAAATTCAATGTACGGAAATAATCTAAACATTCCCGTATCACTCGTCCCCTTGAAAATGAAACAGGTCACTTGGAAAATGATATCGCACAGAACCAGTGGTCTAAAACAAGAATAACAGGGACATATCTCGAGCGTTGTACTTAAAATGATTACGGTCGAGTAATCGGAAACATGTAAAAAGACAGAAGCAAGCTTGACGCTTTTCAGACTCGATGAATAAAAAGTCACATTGCAACCGGGCAGGATAATTGGAAAACGTATAAGATGACGAAGGCAAGCTTCACGCTTTTCAGTCTAGAAATTATTACAGCTAGGGCACAATAATTGGAAAGCATTTAAAATGACAAAGGCATGTTTGATGAGCCTTCAAGATTGATGCTTGTAATGGCCGGCCGCAATAATTGGAAACCGTCTAAAACGACAACAGCGAGTTGCCGATAGCTTTCGAGGCACAAGACTCGGAGCGTCTTCGAAATATTCAAACGCCTTTAGCAGCTAGAGCTGCTTTTTCGCGCCGCTGTGGCCTCAACCGTCTGACACGTTTATCAAATGAGACGAAACGAACGCGCTATTTACGCGAAGAAAAGCACAGGAGAGGTAAGAGTCCCTGGAGTTAACGAGTACGTACGAGGAGCGAACGACTTTATAAAGCACCGCATCCATCATGCTCGGTACGTGTGAACGACAGTTTCAATCTCGCTAAAGTGGCGGTTTGGTGGTCATCCATTAGCGTTCAAGATCTCGTTCTACGCGCGGGTCAAATGCCTCGCGCCTCAAACGGCCCCAAGGGGATTTCTATCGCTATCGTTATCGACTGATTAGATATTAGATCGAATCTCGCCCGATGAACGGCGTCACGTGCGACCGCCGTGTATCGAGCATATTTTTCACGGATAAAATCAGAGACGGTGCTCCTGTAGGCGAGCATCCGAGACAGAAGAATAAATCCCGTGGCGACGGAAGCAAACAAAGGGTGCGATCGTTCGAGATGTGCGACCGCGATTCCTACAGATAAGTTTTACGATTCGTATCGAGGCGCGGCGCGAGTGCGCGATCAAGGCCGTAACGTAGGTTTAATAGATCATAAGGAAGTCGTCGCGTATCCGCATTCTAGAAAACTTGTTACAAGGTACGAGGGTAAAAGCGGGATGTCATTTCTGTCCGAGAGAGGAGGCAAGTTCGCGGAACGCTGAAATTATTCTCAGGTATTCACGGTGTCCCGAGCATTCTTCGAGATGTCGCTTCGCCGATTCTTCAAATGTCACTGCGACTTCAAAATGCAATAACCGAACTCGCAAACTTCCAGAAAGACATGACGGTCGCGAGACGGAGAAAAGTTTCCGTCTCCTCAAGTATATCGATCAGCCGAGGCTGTTGAGCATTTAGGACGACAGGCTACGAGCAAGCACCGAGAAATAACACAGGCATCAAGATCGTTCCAGTTACATGTAATAATGTCTCGTACAAGCGAGACAGATCGACCTGATAGCGTGTCGTTAAAACAGGGAGAGACCCGCCGGTCACTACACTCGCAAAATTGCTATTAAACTGTGGAGACCCTGTTCGCGATTTTTCGCCTAACTCAAGATTAGCCTCGTCACGCCAGACGTCAATTTGACCAAATCTGTCCAATCTGTTCTATATACTCGCTCTTTTGTACTCGTGACTTTTATACATCCATTTTGTTAGTTAAACAAAGAACGGAGGCGCTGCTATTTCTGGCCTGTCAGTAAACAATTTGCCGATAAATCGACACCAAATTGGCAAGAAATTTGCTCAAAACCGATGCCGAACTGTAGAATCTGTGTCCTCAACTCGTGTTTTGCTGGTAAAGCTTGAAGACATAACGTGACAGCAAAACCGAGCAAGGTTTACGCAAAGTAGTTTGATGGTGGCAAATTGTTCCTAAATATCGAACAAAGCTTGCAAAGTTAAACTCGCTGTTACGGTATGTCGGTACATTTTATTATATTTCCGCTGACAATTTGTCGATACTGTCTGGTGTAACAGGGTTTGTATCAAATTTGATGTCTTGTTGCTTGCAAACTTTTTAACGAGCACTTGGCAAAGCTTTAGCAAGTTGGCCGTCTGGGTGTAAACTTCCCTTAAAGTATTAGATAGAATAGGATTACATTGTAAATAAGAGTCTTATGAATTTACATTGAAATTGCATGTAATCTAATGTAATCTGATCATATTCTATCTAATATTTTTAACAGGGTTAGCCTTTTCATTTTCTATAATTGTAACGAAAAGTAATTGCGCTTTAACAAGCCGCGATACCCTTTTGCAACATAAAAAAGCATCCTAATAAATATATTTCGCCACACTGCGATGAAATATATTCAATCCGATTGTATAAGTGGCTACTCTATATTCATGGTTAGATCCAATTGCATCACACAGACTTTACGATCGGTACGGCATGTTGCGAAAGCGGAACGTTGGATATAAATGAGTTAACACTCCCGCGGCGTGCACAATTTCGGGAATTAAAATTTTAGCTGAGGAGCATCCAATCCATCATAAATCTCATTACATCCTTCAGCCCGCGTACGTTGGCGCACGTATCTCTTTACTGATTTATATCCGCGGCGTTTGAGTTACAACGTTTTTTTCCGAGCTGACAAAGTAATCTCGCTAAGTCACGCCTGAAGGGTTCCATTGAACGTCTCGCGCGCGGCGCGTTAATTCGACCGCAGAGTATTTTCGCGCGGCACGACGACGAGGAGCCGTGCTCCACTTAACAAAGTACCCACGAGAGGATGTCCGTCTGACAACACGTGATAAAATTCGCACCGGTGTCACATTCATCGCTCGCCGGTGCGGAGACCGATCCCGAATTAATGCGACGATAAATCACGCGGAACTTTAAGAGAAGCCTGCGCACACTTAAACAAGCCGCGTGCGCTCATCGCTCGCCTAAATTTATCGGCGTGCCACCGCGCGTCCCCGGCCACCACCTTCGCATCGCACCAATGACGACGACGACCGCGGCGACAAGGATAACGATGACGAGAACGCCGATCGTGTCGGATCGAAGACGATGTCGCGATGACGACGAGAGCCTTTATCCTCCCTCCCGGCAAACTTCCGCATGAAATTCGCATATATCTTCGCTAGAGGAAAGTCCTCTATTGTAAGATAGGAGTCTGAGATACGTATAGGTTTTCAACGTCCAAGTTCAACCGCAAGTCTTTTTTTTTCGCAACGATTACACGATCTAACAATCGATTGTACGCTAAACAGATTTCAAAGGCGATGCATTCACGGTGGAACCAACCAAGATGATGCCTACTAATTTAGCAGAAACTTCGCTATCTCGTGATAGGGCACTTTCCTCTAATAAGGTCCCCGCCAGTCGCGCGCACCTGTTTTCCCAACCGCGACACCCTCGCCCGAGCAAGTCGCCAAGTTTAGCAGTTATTCGCCGGGAATAAGACGAGGAATCGTATTATTAGAGACGCGCGCAGTCGAACAGACGTGCATGATCACCGACCTCGTCTAACGTGGCATCTCCGCGGGTAATCTCTCTCTCACCCGGGCGAGCAAATTTTTACGACCCTCCTTTCCTCTCCCGCTCCGAACAATTCAGGTCGCTCTCCTCCGGAAGATCGGTTTGTCTCCTCCGTGTCTATTTCTGCCTCTGAATTACGCCATCCCATTCTCCCCGTTGAGGAATTCATCACTCGTCCTGACGGCATTCCAAGTTGTATCTCCTTGCTTAGACGACGCTTTCCCCGGATCATCGTGAACGACCGATCGCGCGCGTCATAAAGGTAGGTCAGTTCCCGCACAATGAGGGGTAAATGGAAAGCATAATAGCATTACGGAGACGGCTCTGGAAACAAGCTCGAATTCTCCGAGGCTACGGTTTCCCCGTCGCGAGACAAATTGGAGCGTTCAACGTCAAAAGAACGGGGGGTTTCTTTGAAATAATGTGATTTGAAACCTTATAAAGCAGCAGTATAAAGGAGAACTTACGGATTATTTATAATTGACGACTTGCGATATTATTTATGAACGCGTCACCATTTCTCAATTTATCAACGAGTAGAGGAAAGTCCTCTATTATGAGACAGGTTTCTAATATGAGACAGAGCAGGTTTTCAACATCCAAATTCAATGGCAAGTATTTTTCGCAACGACCACACAATCTAACAGTGAACTTTCCACTGAACTGATTTCGCTCCAATAAATTCATGGTGGAATCAACTGCTTATTAATAGAAATCCCGTATTAGAATCCTATCTCATAACAGGGGACTTTCCTCTACTAGTATCTGACTGTGATTATACGAAATCATAAAAGTAAAATACTTATGTATCAGTTAATATTTTACTTCTACTTCTCTCCAACTCTCTTCCTGCGCTATCATTCGCGTAAGTGTGTGTACAGAGCTCGAGTCCGCGGGTTCGCTAAACCCAAATGACTGCGTGGATCAGTCATCTCTACGGGTATATTTATAGCAATACTTTACGGATTATATAACCGGCGGCACTGTGTGTTCGAAACGCGCGAAGCACATCGAATAAAGCTTTCACGCTTAAGATTTACAACGGGATTATTCTGTCAATTAAGCCCGGCCAATTAGAGTTCTACAATACGTTGCAACGTTTTGTCGAAAAAAAGTAGCTTCGACATAAAACTCGCAAAAAGATACAGAAATATCCGAGAGAACACGTTTCGATCTACTTTTAATACGTTTATGTGCTCGACACATTCTTCTATAAAGCTCTTCATACATGCACGGAGAGAATGTTCTCTTAAAATTTACTGAGTAATCGTGGGACAACGTGGCATTTTGAAGAACTTTATGAGAGTTTTTGGAAATTTTACCATACATGTTACTATGTAAAATTTCCAAAAACTCATCCCACGATTACATGATTTACAGGATAAATTTGAAGAGAAAATTCTCTCTCCGCGTGAGCTGGCAGATTCGTATTACGTTACTTGTTCGTTACAATTTTATCCTTAAAAACACGTGAAAAGCTTGGAAAATCTTCAATCATTAACGAGGCTCGATATAGAGCGCAGCTCAGCTTGATCAGGGCCTAAATCTATAAGAAGTGTTCCGCTAAATTATGCACGCGCCGTAAGCCCGGCGAGAACCGGAGGCATGTGAGCACGCGACACGGGCGCTCACATTTGTGGCACAAAAAAGCTGGAAAACGCAGCTTTCGCGATTCGTCGGGGTATCTGCAAGCATGCGCCTGCCAGCCGCCAAAGTGAGAGGGAGTGAGAAAGAGAGCATAGAGAGAGGGTTGATCGCGAGTAAGCAGCACGTGCGTAACAGTCATCCTGGCGCATTCGCCAGGACCGCTTGCATCTCGGAAGTTATCTTTCCATCATCGGATGTTGCAGATCATTACCTCGCGCAATAAACACTTGCAATCCGGCATCGCTCACGGGGTGCCCTTAAAATCAGCGATTATTAACGCTCCGTCGCGAATTCGAAGTCTCTTTTCTTCTTAAAATAAATTGAAGCGTCACGTACGCGGATGGCAGGAGGATTCCGTAGGAATTGAACGTCCCAGATTGACTTTGATTTATATCAAACGCAATTCCAGTGAAAATATATAGAGTGAACGTTCCGTAAACGTCGGTGACACGGTATAAAATATGCACGGTTACCACGAAGAGTGCACGTATGCGCGCGCTCCGCGCGTATACCCCATCGAGAATGCGACTCACTTGCAGATTATATTCAAGTACTTCCGACAGACTCTACTATCGACTATAATTCCCACTATTTCCGCACGAATACAGGTCGTCGGTATGGCGAGGTGGATCGCCAAAGCCTTATCTTCGAGGACGAGAGTTATCTGTCCGCTAAAGTATACGGGAAATAGTTTGACTCAACAATGTGCTCGTTCGAGTGAACCGTAAAAATTCCCGGCATAGCATGACGATACACAGACAGAATAAAATGAGGCACAGCAGTTCTTGGCCCGATCGAGCGCCGCAAAAAGTGAAGGTGCGCGTCGATCCCTTATCTCGTGCCTTTACTATCATCCCAACGAGCCGCGAAACGATATATCGATTGGAACAAACTGCACCGCGATCTAATTGCCTGGAAGAAGTCATCCTGTTAGACCGATGTGCCCCAGGAGGAGTCGCGTCCGTGATGATAAAACGAAGATTAATCGACGGAAGGCCACCCATAAATAAGAAACCTGCGAATTTCTCTGAGAATTCGTCCGACGTGAATAACGAGATGAAGAGTGTAAAAAGTACCAGCCGATATTTCATGCCGCGCAGTCTTTCTTTAATCGAGACAACTGCAACTCATCAAAACTCGGTCATTGTATTGGAGGAGAACGTCGTCCGAGATCAATCGAGATGTAAATCGGACTCGCTCGTGAAGGTTAATGAAGCGAACACGCGAGACGTCAAGAAAAGAGACTCTATCCTAAGAACCACGTCGGATGCGGATTTCCCGAAGTCACTTCCGAAAAATTTGCACGTCGAGGAAGAGCTCGAAGATACAGGCGCGCAATTGCAAAAGAAATCTCCCTCATTCGCAGACACGAACGCCTTTGATGTTATAGTAAACGTTGCAAACGAAAGACAGCGTACAGTCAGCATCGCGCAAGCAAATAATTCACAGACGCAAGAAGCGGATGAGGTAAAGAAAAAATACCGAAGTACCGTTTCGCACGCGTCTTCGGAGAGACACGCACTATCGCCACCGCATATCAAGGTGGTGGACTACGACGATTACGTCACGTCCATGTCATTCCCATCGAAAAATGATCTCCATGCCTGTCCAAAATGCACGTCCGAGGGTGTTCTACGCTCGCAGATCGATCCCTTTCGTTCCCCCTCGCGGAGCAAGAAAAACGACGATTCAACGATGGTGAACGCACACGGTGTTCAACATGATAATCTGATCGGACGCGAGAAGAAGGAGGCGCGCGCTGAGAAGCATCAAAGCAAAGATATCTGGCACGGCCTAATCGGGGAGGCAAGAAACATGGATAGGGATGGCAAAAAGCTGGAGCAACGAGGAAGAAACAACGACTTATTACCGATGCGACCGGCAACGGATTTCAGAAAGGAGGCTACTTTGAGGCGGCATTATTATCCCGAGGGGGGTTGGGGATACGTCATTGTCACGTGTTCGGTGCTGGTGCATTTCATCGGGGTGGGCCTGCAACTCGCCGCGCCCGGATGCTGGCACATCACGGCAGAATTGAAGTTTCGACACCCCCCGCTGCACAGCGCAGGTAAGACGTCGTCTGACATTGTTAACGCATCGAAAATTAATTCCATAAACGTTCAGAACTTGCAATCGCATTTCAATATAGTATTTCGAATAAAATGTATCTATCTGTACGTTCTTTACACTGAGAAAAAGTATTTAATTAAAACGATGTCTTGATTCAATGAAATGCTGCGATCTATGGCTATCAATCAGGTATTTATTTAAAAAAAAACAAATATTTATATACCTGTTAATTCAGAAATATATATATATTTCGATAAATTATATTATTTGAACTGAAGAAATGCTATTAACTAAATATATTTAGTAATATCGACGATTTTTTTCTCAGGGTATTAACTTCCAAACCGTTTGACCTCAGTCTGAACCAAATATTGCATAGTATTACTCTCTAGGGTTCTGCGGAAAATATAGGCTACCATGAAACTAGACACCCCACCTGAGTCCTCCTGATTTCATCCCCTTGACACTTATACATGTATGTGTGTAGTATAATAGAACAAAGTTATATACTACATGAATTTGTAAATTACTTATCACTATGGATTAATTTCAATATATCGCCGTATGATTTTCACATCTCCACATATCCGTTTTAGATAAGAAGCCCGGACAACGCCAAGTTTAAGCTAGTAATAAATGCAATTCTTGATAGATGTACACATAAGCTCGATTAATTACCTGTCTATTCTGATGACACGTGTATCGCGTCAATATCCTAGCATTAATGAACAATTGTCGACGTGCTAATCATGAATGATAAATGTAAATTTAATGCAAATGCATTTACGAAAATTCTGATAGTTCACAATATTCGTGGACGAATCTCGAGTGAATCAGGATTTTCTGAATTTAAAAAAAAACCGCAATGCAGTATGACGGCTTCTCGAGAGGGTGTTACTTTTTATTACATATTTGCAGTTAAAATAATGATACACTTTTCGTCTCTTTCTATATTAGTTTACTTGCGCAATATTACCATTTCTCGCACGTTTCCTCTTTAACTAATGGCACACTATTTATCACCATAGAAAATAAATCTCGGCGATGATAGTATCCTAATTCTGACCTGGATATGTCTTCTTACGGATCGTATTTTGATCACGTTTTATGTAACTAGACATATACTCAACCCCTCAAATCTGGTCATGTCATAAATTATATACCCAGAGGTACAATGGACGCAGAGCAAACCGAAAAGATGAAAGCCCGAAAAACTCAGATTTTCAGTCTCCGTACGATTCTCAGAATCTATCATATTTTTGTCATTTGTGATTCATAATTTTTACTAACAATTTATATACAAAATTATTAAAAGATTAAATTGAGTTTTTTTTGGCAATTAGTTGAGGTCGACTAATACTCAATTTGATATTTAATATTAGCAACCTTAAGTATTTGATTTATTTATGAAGATTATTAATCTATTATTTCAACTGCATTTTGTACTAAAAAGTATAATAATTTTCCTATCTATTAAATAGTTTTTTTATAACAACAGAATCTTCGTTAAACCTTACCAGTTATCTTTATTTTTACAATATCAAATAGTAATGTTAACAATTATTTACCGGGGATTCTTAAGATGAATGTAGTTCATATTCGACAGTTGATATAACTTGGCAAAACTTCATTATACAACAATAAAATAATTGTGAAAGTTTTACCGTGAATGGAATCTGCCATTAAGTTACATTAAAAGGAAATAATGCTTAGTATTTCTAAAGAAACTCAGTAACTGTAGTCGAAGTTGGGATCAAAGTTATACTCGGCTTTGCACCTCTGACATACATTGATTTTCTTGTGGCGCTTCCTACGAGCCAAGTTCCTATAAATTGACCGCAATTTATTTTCTTTGTCGTGTTCGAAATGCAGTTTTTACAATCTCTACAGTATCCTTTGATTTTGGCAAAATAATCAAAGTATTTCTCTCAATAATACTTTTTTCATCAATACTACATGAAAATAATTATCTATCAATAACATTAGCTGAAAACAATCTCATGGAAAATAATTTTCTTAATTTAATAGCAGTATTAGAACAAATAATACTTTACTAAAAAAAAGGACATTTGTTTCGTTTAACTAATGCTATTAATACATCATTATTTTCCGAACTTTAAAGAATTTTAATAAATTTTATTCAATTATATCAATATATTTAAGACATAAGAGAGCGAGTATCGAATAAATCGAAACAAGTAAATCTTCTTAACAAATAAAAAATTAACTCTATGGTGTAGATAAAAAAAGAACATAAAATGAACAAATCAAATTTAAAGTTTTTGGCAACTAAAATAATTCCTCGTTTAATGATAAAAAATTTAGTAAGCTTTCCCAACTTTTCCACATACATATTGTACTTCCTGGCGTCATCACTTATTCCGGAGAGGTAGAGGCACTTTTCACCCGGCTCTCACTATTTTCGGGATTAATGCATACGAAAGGAGGGGCATTCACCGTGTAGCGTCGTACAACGTATGTACGTGCGAGAAAAATCAGGACAACAAATCGACAGTCGAAACGCGTCGCGAGGCTCACGTTCGGCCTAATGCGTGCAAAGCATCACGATGCATCCACGAAACATCGCTGGATTTTTATACATCGGGGACAGTCCTCGTTTGAAATCCGCCGGTGTTGTTGGTGTAACTTAACACCGAGTTTAATTTTCTGCTAGGTGTATTCTTTCACGACGAGTCCAATTACAAAAGTGAAAAACATAACGGAACTTAAAAAGTGTTGAACTATTACACTGAAAAGAGTGTTTCATATTCCAAGTGTATTAGTGTCCCGTTGCTGCACGTATCAATAAATGCATCTGCTAAATTTGACTTTGCAAACAGATGAGAGCACGAGATAAGCGAACTGCAAACTATCTTTCAGACGAAGAACTTAAATATATGATAAGTATCGTATTGTTCGTGACTCATTTAAATATCGCGATAAGAAACGCGACGGCGCGTGACGGTAACATAACTTGGTCTCGAGCTCGGTTTCCGCAGCACGAGGACTCAGCAGCCGAGACATCCGCCTCGATTGTGCGAGTTTGAGAAACGAACCACGAAATGGGCGAACGCGCTGACTCGGCGAGGCCGTGCGAGGGACCCGCATATCGCAGACGTCGCCGGTCTTACAGCGCGGCTATGAGCGAGGAGAACTCGCTCGACGAAGATGACGACGACGAAGAGGCAGAGGAAGAGGAATCCTATCCCCATCGTGACGGTGCAACGCGGGCGCGTTGCTGCCGGCAACGCGAATGCACCGCGCGGAAAATATCCAGCGTGGAATCCGAGACCCGCTCGTCGACCGACAGCCTCGTTTCGAAACGGGCGTTGACGAGGGAGTCTTCCGGCGACATTGCGAAATCATGGAGCGAGATCGAGCTGCCCGAGTTGCTGCTGGCGCATCCGGAGATCCTATCGCGTATGATGCGGTGCCGCTGCTTCCTGGCGCAATTCTCCGCGTGCCAATGTTGGTGCGCCCAGTGCCAGTACCAGCGCCGGAAGATCTCGTCCACGTCCTCGTGCTCCCCTAGGGATTCCGTTCAGGGGGTTGGCGCGAGGCGGAAGGACTCCGGAAACTCCGTGTCGACTTGCCAGAGCTTCCTGCCGCCGTCCTCCGGCAGAAACTCGGCCGGCAGCCTCTGCTGCGCAGACCACGGGGACACCGGGGCGACGATCCAGCGCCGGCACTCGATCGCCGTCGGTCCGATAGCCCATCATCGGTACTTGGATCAAACGCACTCGTTGCGCGGCTGGAAGATCGGCCGCGCGGATAATCGCAGACTCTCCGAGCAGCAGCCGCTCGTCGATGATGCCATCGAAAATTGCGAAAGCACCACCGGCGCCGCAAATGCCGCGGGACCAATCATCGCCGGCAACGCCCGTCCGCGAATCCTTTCAAAGGCGACAGCCCGCGCGACACGATCAATCACCCCGTTTTATCCTGAAAATTCGGCAGCTGTCGATATTAAAGACCCGAACAACAGGGAGTCTCGAATCGCTAACGAGTCCAACAGAGACGCGCGTCTCGTTGCCGGCGGGAAAAGTGCCAATGCAAACGCCGCTTTAACTGGTCGTAAAAATAGCGTGATTTCGATTACACCTAAGATGATGAGGAGGCGATTCTCCGAGCAACTAATTCTCGAGGGAGGCCTCGGCAGCGTCGGTGAATCTGAGAATCTGCTCGATCAGCCGGAGAACGCGGAGGTGGCAGAGGAATCCCTCACCGCGATAAACGCTCGGAAAAAAATCACGCTCAATAAGCATTACTACCCGGAAGGCGGTTGGGGATATGTTATTATCATAATAACGATTCTCGTGCACCTAATCTCTCATGGGCTGCAACTGGCGTCCGGCTTGCTGATGAGCCCGACGATGACGCGCTTTGAGCAGACCGTTGAAAACTCAGGTACGACGTGCAGTACATTATCGACTTGCTTGATAATCGATCTCTTCATGCTATAGAGGAAAGTCCCCTATTATTGGATGGGCTTCTAATATGAGATAGCGGAGTTTCTGCTAAATTAATAAGCATCATCTGCTGGTTCCACCACGAACTTATTACCCTTGGAGTGAAACCTGTTTAGTGGAAAATTGATTGTTAGATCGTGTAATCGTTGCGAGAAAAGATTTGCGATTGACTTTGGACGCACAGTTGAAAAATTTGTGTTAAATTTAACAGATGCCACATGTCCCAAACGGTCCACACATATTTTTGTGTTAATTTAACATAATATGGATGTGTTCAATGAACGCACTAATAATCTGTTAATATTTTAATACAAAATAAATGCAAATCTGAAAATAATTTGAAATAAATTTTATGTAAAATTAACATATTTTTTATGACAAGATGAATTTTTTTTATGTAAATTGTATAAATATAAAATGTAAATTTTAACAGATAAATCTTGTTACTAATAATATAGAACATACAATATGTATTGTGTAAGATTAAAAAATAAGTACACGTTGTTTTAATATTTCTTTCCAGTTATTTTAATAATTTTACATTTGAGGTCAATTAACACAGGAGCAATATGTTAAATTAACACATAAATGTGTTTGTTGAACATTTAACACAAAAAAACCGGCGTTTCTTTTAATAAGAAAACACAAATTTTCCAACTGTGCGTTAAAAAGCTACTATCTCATAATAGAGGACCGGCGTTTCTTTTAATAAGAAAACACAAATTTTCCAACTGTGCGTTAAAAAGCTACTATCTCGTAATAGAGGACTTCCCTCTATATTCCATTGTTTAATAAGACACGTGTTAATCAGAATAAAAAGGAAACTTATGGAAAAACACAAAATTGGTGAAAATCATGTTTTACTCT